ACCTTCCCTGTGTCAACATTTCTTATACTATCTTTCTGGCAAGTCTAGACATATTGTGGCTACTATAGGACAAAAAAAGATTTTCCCAGATTCCTAGTTGTATGTTGATGGTACTGTGAGAGTGATATTGCTGGATAACCTACCCAAATTCCTGAGAAATGAGCAAGCTTGGGTAGGAAAAGCCCAACCACTACTTAATTCTATCTTCAGTGCAGGTTTGCATTTGCATCACTGCAATGGGGTAAAGACTCCTTGATTCTGGAGGGGTTTGGGTTTTTTTGGAGTTCCGATTGTGTGAACTTGCCAACCAATCACTTTGTGTGTGAGATGGTTTCCACTCCATCAGCTGCACAAGACAGTCAGTTCCCCTTACATCTGTCCCCACTAAACTCACTGGAGAGGTTACAGGAGATAATCGACTTCTCCACCAGCTCCCGGAAGACGATAAGGACTTTGGCTGGAACCAGATCACCTTCGATGTTCACGTCCGTCTCATGCCACTGCGGAAGGCTTTTTGAGAACTGCTCCACCTCTAGCCATTGGTGCAATTCCTCAGGGTCCCGCACGGAGGAGAGGAGCTTGGCTCCATGCACGGTGTAATAACGCCAGTGCCGTACCTGGCACTCCCTGTACCCAGTCAGGCCACGCAGAGGGACTGTGATGAGGAATTGGCTGGGTGCTAAGACCTAGGAGAGTTCAGAGAGATTGAGAGAGGAGGGAAAGGCAGATCCATGAGCCCAAAGCAGGGAAGGCAGGATTAAAGAAGCAACAGGTTAACTGGGAAGGGCTTTGGAGAGAGGGAAAAGCCAAGGTATCATGGGAACAACTGAATACAGGCAGGACCTACTGCATGCCTGTCTGAGGGTTACCTAGGAAGTACAAAGAATAAGAGAAAATTGTCCTAGAAGGAGTATGATGTTACAGCCATGCCGCATATGAGACAAGAGCAGACTCAGCTGATTTACCACCGCAGCTGCCATAATTTCCTCTCATTCCTTGTTATTTCTAGGGTGCAATTGCATGAGATGTAATAATTAGTAGATTCCAAGAAGTAGAAGAGCATCAGAGAACATGTTTTGAGATCGAACAATGGGAGACAAAATAGTGCCAGTTATTACCTTAGAATTATTACTAGAGATAAGCCTTGAGTTTATTAGTAGTAACAACTATAGAAAAGGCGCACTTTTCTGATCTCCCTCAAAGTCCATTAAAGACATTTATAAAGTAAGACTTTGGCCCATTAATAAAATAAGTGTTTTACTCCGCATCACTGGAAATACTGTCCTTCCTTAAGAGATAGAGACATAAGGTAAGTGACATGCCCAAGGCTACATAGGCAGGCAGTGATACAGCCATATGAAAACCCAGGTCTTGACCAGCTGTACTCTATGAAACTGTTTCTTCTGTTGAGTGGAAGCCAGAAACACCATAAGGATGGAAACAGTAACCAGTGGATAGCAAGACCACAAGTAGGTTTGTTTGCAAGTCAGTATCGGCCTCATTTTGAGAAAAAAGATTCTCCAATAAAAACAGTGCTGAACCAGTGTCTCTCAAAAGTGAATAAGGTGTCACATGAATATCATGAAACCTTGTATGGGTTTGGAACATCACCAGACAACTCCAAATGTATTGGAAATATTCAGCGATCTTAGCTCCAGGTGCTCAGATAGGGTGCTTAAACTCATTCAGACTTTTACCATGTTGATTCAGAAGCTTTTCAACTTCACTTGCTAACAAGCCTAACTTACACTGGCATTAATAAGGTGAAACTGCTGCATAAACAGGATGTGAAGTGATGGCTGTTGCTGTAAGGTGGTTACCTCAAGGTAAATTAAAAACTCTTGTCATTCTCTGGTAATAATCCAATACATTCTTGTAGCCTTCCTGGTAACTGCTGATTTAGAATATTACTGTAGAGGTGTCAGGGCCCTGAGGGCACTAACAGGCCTTTATGGCATAGAAAAAAGTCAGTTGTTTTCCACTACAAGAGTCTGATTTATATTCACTTACACAAGCTGCAATAGCCCCATTCAAAACGAAATGGGCACTAGAAGCATGGGTGCTACACAAGCTGAAAAATGCCAGCCCAGCTGAAGGCCCAAGGAGAAAGGCCCCAGGGTGTAACATGAATTTGGACACTACACAAATAAGCATAAGTTCTGCTTGACCAGGCTGAAACACTGCTTTGAGAGGCTGTGTTTGTACCAAATACAGCCACATGCAGGCAAAGGCCAAACCACATCACCATCCCTATCAAGTGGCAGTGAACAACAAACTAGTACCATTGTAGAAAAATGGTATGTAATGGCTGCCCAACAGATTTTAAAGGGAAGATCTGCAGCTGCTATGTGAGTACCTTCAAATACTGAGAAGCCTGCCTCCTTGGGGAAAAATTCTTTTGCAGACTATTTCAACACCCTGCAAATTTCACTCTTTCAACCCGTCCTACCCCAGAACACACTTTGTCTCCTCTTGACCTCTGGGTAAGCCTTCTTTGTGTTGTATAATCACATCTGCAATAAAACCTAGACTTAAGACAACAGTAGAGCTTCACTGTAAGCTCTGAGCAACCCCAGAGTGAGCTGATCCAAGGCCACTGGACGGTTTAGAAAACCACGAGGTTTAAAAACAGTTAGAACAATTTGGGAGAGCTTTGCTATTTACATTCTAATTTCCATTTAGCCAATGATATTCATTCAGCCAATGATATTCATTCAGATCACTTCAAAAAACAAACAAAAACTTTTCTTCATAGCTATAAGGGATAAAAAAAAACCCCTCCAAACTCTCCCTATGTTATTTTTTAAAACAAAGTTGGATTTTTGTCAGGATCACAAGGCTCTTCCACCTGGTGCTTACCAGGAAACACCAGAAATCACAGGTTTGGTGATGGAGTGGTAAAGCTGACCTGCCATGGAGCAGGTACTCTCTGGATCTGAACAAATCCTCATCCCACACTTATGCTCTGTCACACAACAGTGTTATGCACAATATGTAGATCACAAGCCCCAACAAGTCACAGGCTACTGAACGAAGCTAGCGGTAACAAACAAGGACCTTGGATTCTGGGATATGTAAGCCATGGCCAGTTCTGTTGTATTAAAAAGCTGCCTGCAGTAAGTCGGGCAATTTAAATGCAGTCTGGTTCTTGTGAGCCTGGCCAGGCTATCCCAGAGAGGTGGAAGCGTTAGGTTAGAAACAAAATGTTCGTGCTTTGAGCAAATAAGGAAGTCTCTTACAGAGAGGCTGAATGGTCATGGGAGGCTTGGTTGAATGGGTGAAGTTGTCTGGAGAAGAGGGTGGGTGAGGAGGGAGCAGGCACATCAACCAGCATGAACCGGGTGGCATGAAGGACTTGTACCTGGATGGATGGGTGGAACGGGCGTTTCCCTCGAAGCATAGCTGACCACTTGGCCAGTAAAGCTGGCTGATCCTGAGAGAAGCAGAGGGAAAAACAAGACATACAGCAGACAGAGAGAAAGCATGTGCTAGGTGATTCATTCACAGAGCAAAGCTGCAGATTTCCTTTGAGCCTGCTGATAAGAGGAAAATCCCCCCTGCAACGATTATAGATTTAAACACTTAGCAGTGCTGTACTAGTAACTACTGCGGATGGTTAATCTGCTCAGTACGCCTTACTGAAGCCTCTGCAGCTTCTGCTTCAGCCCCGCTTGGATCACTGCTGCAAAAACGGTGGTAGTCTTTCTGCATCCGGTTGAAGCATGGCTTCCAGGGTGATGCCACTTAGACTGAAGTTCTTAAGCAATCTCAGATTTTGGCATCTTTCCACTCCCTGTTCAGTGAAGACCATGGGAGATCTCCCATGTGTGCAATCAAATACCCACAAGGTATAGACAACAGTTCTGGTTAGTGCTAGGTGGCTGGATTGATTTAATCTGTCAGTATTTATAAATTAAAAACAGTACTATTCTCATTTCATTTCTTCCCTCATGCACCATGTGGACAGAAGCTAGTTGTAGAGCCACTGTAAGAAAACATGCAAATATTAATATTTCTGAGGGTATTATAGAGACAGTACAAGTGTGAGGTTAGTTTCTTCCAGACTACAGTATAGAGGTCACATTTTTTTGCAGCTCTCAGGAACTACTCAGCAGAAGCATGGGCATAGAGAGCAGAAATAAGACTTCTCTAGCTCTGGAACAGGAGCACACACCATTTTTTTTGGTCAGAATCCCTTAATATATTTGGATTGAATGATTTCTTACTGAAGTGGGAATAGTTTTCCATCAGAAAAAATGCATTTAAAAATATACACCTATATAGAAAGGGGTTGGATGAGTTTCACACTGAGAAGAGCAGTGGTGTTTGAATAAATTAATGCATAATAAATACTTTTGAAGTATTAAACATTTAAAAGTTGTAAACGTGTTTACTAAAGATTTTGACTTTTTGTCCCAGGTTGCAGAAAAACATTGAATATTTAAAGAACTTTCTTCTAGTTCCCCACTCAGCCCTGTACATTTAAAAGGATGCTTATAGGTTTGCAACAAATCTAGATCCCCAACATGTTAAATTAAATCCTCCTAACTAAAGGCTGAAAGTTGTGAAAAGCCACTGAAAACTTAATTGTCAGGAAAAAGATGATGCAAAATTAAACGTAGAATAGTCAACATACTGGCTTTCCCGTAAAATAATTCTCCTCTAGGCTGAGTCACTTCAGCAACAATCTTAAAGATTCTAGTTTTTGGAAATAGAATAGGCCAAGACCAAACTTTTTCTTATTAACCTATCCTTTGCTATACCTTCTGCACCTTCAGTACGAAGTGAGCCAAGAGGCACTGCCCTCCTAATGTGACTGCCAGATTTATAGCACTGGGGTTAGTTCAGTATGGATAATGAATCCGCCACTTTCTAAGAAAATACCTTTTGGGGATTTTTTTTTAAGCAGAGGTTGCTCAGATCAAGCAACAGTAATGCTAAATTTTGGCTCAGAATAGATTGCCTTGGTTTGGTTCCGTTTTGTTTTCCAGAATAGCAATCTTACATTGACCCTGGTCTTGTCAGACCTCCTAAGCCAAGCAGGATCAATCCAATTTGAGCAGTGGATGCAGACCATGGCACTAAGGACTGTCCGTGGATTAGGGTGTGACAGCATTCTGTGCCACTGTTGTCAGTCCTGCTGGCAAGGCTCATGCCATGGCGTTCACAGCATTCTAGAAAAGATGTAAATCTGAATGCGTTTGTCCTCAAAGCAACAGCCACATTCCAGATTGGATGATCATATTCTACCCCCACCTCAGTATCCTTCTAGCAGCCTGACACGCACATAATTCTTCCCTTTCAATCCTAGACAATTGCAGAAGTTGCCCTGTGCTTTTATGCTTGCTGTGTTTTGCTCCGTAACTGGCTGCATTTCAGCACAAGGGCTGACATAGCTAGAGTATGTAAACTGCTTCAGACGAAAAAGATCTTTTCCATCTATGCTGTAATTTGTTCTTATATCGTTTTGCTGGTTATTCTTGTCTTAATTAGTCACAGGAAATAACCAATCTTCCCCTGTCACAACTGGGACAGGATATTATTATTTTGGTATATGATGGTTTAAAATAGGGAAATGTTTTACTTCTACTAGCAAGCATATTTCTTCCCAAGAAAAAAGGAAAAATTTGAATCCATGATCAAGAAAAAAACACTATTTTTTCTGAAGAAGCTTTCTAATGTTCATAGTGGTGAAGAATTTTTTTTTCTCCTTTTTTAGTAAGCTGACAGTTTTCCACCTGTGGAAAATATGAGTCATAGCTCATGAAGGCATGAGAATTTTTTTCTTCTTCTGTTACTGATGTATAATTTTTTTTCTAACTCCCAAAAAGCTTTGGCTTCTGCTTGCAGATTGACAGCTCTGGCAATAGAAGCTCTTCGTAAAAGAAGCAGTTGTAAAAAGATGCTCTGCCTGATTTACCCAGCCCTCTTTGATGCTCCTCTAGTTTTAAGATGTCCTTGGGTAAGCCTCTATGACCCAGTCAGCTACTAGACCTTCCACAATAAAGTGTCAATTTATTATCTGTGGTGTCTTGGATGATAGAGGTACCTGTCCACAACAGACAATCACACAGTGGAAAATCACTTACTCTTTGCCTGCAAGCTGAGTGTACTGAAGCTCTTTTGTTCATACCTTAATATTCTCATTATGAATGCCAGAGTTGGAGATAGCCTGGAATCGTATGGCCTTAAAGCTGATTTCTGTGGTCAGTTGCTGGATGATTTTCTGCACCTCCTCCACTGCTTTGGAAACCAGATAATGCCGTGGCTCAACCTGTCAGTTCCAAGCAAGATACTTCACATTATGGATAACTGCAGTCTTTATCTCCAGCAGGAAACAGTCACTCAGCTTAGAGCATTCTGAAACATTTGTACCTAGGCTGCACTGGGAATAAAAATGTGTTGTTCCCTACATGTCCCAACCAACTTACCCATGAGACAGAGCTCTTCTTGGTGAACACAGAAGGGCCTATACTCAAAACTGCCAGGTATTAACTGATATTACCTTGCTGATATCATTGGATGGAAGCAAAGTAGTTCATTACACGGATATATTTTGTAGCAACTAGCTACCCTACCCTCTCATTCTTGATCCATTTTGGATGGACTGCCCTGTTTTTCCCCTGCGTATACCAGCCACTCACAGACTCAGGATATTTTACTTTCCAAGAGCTGACAAGACTTCAAAGACTGCAGATATTCTGTGCATTAATCGGATCTCAGGTATATGTGGCAGCATCTAGGTGCCTACATATATGTCAAAAGTATCCATCCTCTCCATCTTCATACCTGAAGCACAGGTGAGAGCCCATTCCTTGATGGTGAGAAGCTGGTCCCACTGAGGACTAGGTGGTTGCGTGACTTGCTGGAAATATCTTCATTTCAAACAGTGATAACATAATTATTTATTTAAAAATATTTAAATGGAAAATCTTAGTGAATGTTTGAGGTGATGGATAGACAGCTCAGAAAGTTAAATATGAACCTGAACCTTCACATACTACTGAAAATGAATGGAACAGAAGGGAATAGTTAAAATCTAAACAAGACAATTCAATAGAAGGAACATGGAGGAACCATGTTAGTAGAGGACCTTTACATATTAGCCAAAGGAGCCTTATAAGTTCACCAAAATGAGAACGAGATACTGTTAATTAAGTTAATTAATATGTTTCTCATTATTTATTCAGCGAGAATTACCCATGCAGGTTGATGTATAAAGACAGTTTACTGTCCTTTTTTTGCATCCGGGTGCTTGATCTCATTTATTTGTAATTCTTGCTTTCATTGCTGCTAGGTTTTCATTCTTCCTCATTGTATGTCACAAAGAAAAAAAAATGCAGAAGCAGATGGGAACTTTGGGAGGACTAGATCAGAGAAAATGAAAACCCACCTGAACCTAGAACTAAAACCCCAACTGGGCTATTTGCACGTATGAAACAAGAGTGTTAGGTCATTAGCAGCTTGGCGGAAGTCAATGATCAAACCATTGCTAAATGCAATTGCTACTGTCTTTCGTTATTACGCAGTAGAACGCCTATGTCCTGTTTACTTAGCCCTATCCTTAGCATCTAACAACATTCTTCTCCCTCTTAGAAAATGCTACTGATTCACACTTCACTAAAAGCCCTTTTGGACACCTATGTCAACTGGTGAACAGTCAGAAGAAACAATCAAGTGCGTGGAGGCTTAGTCTCACGCCCTGGCGGGTGACAAATAGCTGCACTTTTTCACAACAACGGACCATACCACAACCATTAAAAAAGACTAGTACTTGCATAAGATCAATTAACCAATGAAGAGTGATTGACTGACACTGGACTTGAAGATGAGCAGAGTTGGAATAAGATTTCCCCCCCAGCCAACAAAGGTAACAACATTTTTAATAAGATTGAATAGTACTTGCAAATAGGGAATACATCAAAACAGCATCATATTCTCTTTACTGGGGTCATCTCCCCTCGACATCCTGATTCTTTGCTATGTTAACTATATATAGTTTCTTATGTTTATATAATACTATTTAATTTCCCTATCAATTGTCTCTTCTCATTTCAGTTCAGCCATATTCTTTGAGATCAGTTTTAGCTAGCTTACAAGTGCTTTTTTCTTTTTTCTAAGAAAAATTTTACTCAAAATTTTTAGCTCATGTTTGTTCTCACTTCTTTGTTTCAGCTTTCATTTATGACACTTCTCCCTCCCCAGCTACAGCTATTTTCTCTGCGAATTTTATACTTGTGCAGAAGAATCCCTTAGTTCTTAGGACTGTCCAATAGGCTGACTTGCTCAACAAGTCTGCTAATGGTTCCTCCAACAGGCAAACAATATGAGGGACAAAGAAATAGTTAGCCACCGCTGTGAGCTTCCAGACACAAAAAGCAGACTCTTTCTGTTGAAAGTATGCAACTACTCTGGGTCAGCTCAACCTGAGGTCCGAAAGCGCTCCTGTATTCCTTACTCAGGCCAAGTTTTCTTCCAGTGGCATCTGCCAGAAACACTTTCTGCTACCTCCAGTTCCCTAGGAGAATCCATCCAACCCAACCTGGCTTCATTTACTTTTGCCTTTATCACATTCTGGCTAAACTACAGCAGTTGTCATGAAATCTTTAGAAGAGCATAGACTCTCAAAAAACTTCTTATCGGGTGTATCACAAAACTCCTCCTGCACCTGCTGCATGTACTCCTCAGGACTGGGGCAGAGATAAAAGAGCCAATGGCAGGCAGCAGATGATGGTCATGCTGCCTAATCTACTACTGGAAAATATATCCTTCCTACAGAAGGGAA